ATGCAAATATGAACATCCAAGGTATTATCCTAATCTAGCATACAAAATATCAATATAACAAGATAGAATACATACCTCTTTAATGGTGCTTGTCTTCATGAAGCTTGAGTGCTTAGTGCCCCAAGTGTGACACCTCAAATGGTTCACACAACACCAAATACACTTGGAATAACTTGAGAGAAATTAGAACACTTCATGAAATCGTCTAGCCCTCATACACACACATAGTCACGATTTCTTGAGCCATGGGTTTCTTTTATATGGTGGCTATTAGGGTTACACCATGTAACTCATGACTTTACCCATTCCTTATGCTCCATGGATTTTAACCTCCATGGAGTATCCATGGGTCACCCCATGGACTTAGTCCAACATAAGGAATCTTGGATCACAAGCCCACATATATAAGAATGAATGATTTACACAATCAACCCATATATTTAATTTGTCTCCTTTTGATCACTTAATTAATTCCAAATTAATTCTTGATCAATACTAATTAAATAACCTTATTAATATATTAGAACTTATAATATATTAACAAACCTTAAGTGTTATTTCTCTCATTTTAGTCTATCCAAGTGCATGATGCCATGCAACCCAAATGGACCATGCCGGGTCGGGTCAAGTTTTACCAATTATAGTTATGGACTTAGACATTAATCCAACAATAACAACATTCAACTATGAGATACGGGCCCTTGCCCACACTCGTGAAGATACGGGCCTTGCCCACACTTCGCTTTCTGGGAGATACGGGCCATGCCCATACTCGGGAAGATACGGGCCTTGCCCACACTTTGCTATTTGGGAGATACGGTCCTAGCCCACACTCCACTATCTGAGAGATACGGGCCTAGCCCACACTCAACCGCCAACTCATATCATATAATTATCACACAGACAACAAGTATAGACAGCTCTATCCTACTAGCATATATCGCAATCACTCAATTAAGAGATACGGGCTCGGCCCACACTCTAATACTAATGTCTCGTCTATACGGACTGGCCTTGGTGCCTTAGACGCGTTACTACTGAAAGGAAACTCACCTCGAAATAGCTGCTGGTGTGTGTGGGAACCGACTGTCTGTTGCTGTTGCTACTCCGGAAATCCTCTGGCTGTAATTCCCACAACATACTCAATCAATCAATATTTACTGCCTTTTTGGGTGAAATGACCCTTTTACCCCCGACCATGCCCTAAGTCAAAGTCAGAGTCAACTTCCAGTTGACCCGACTCGTCGAGTTGGCTATCCAACTCGTCGAGTCTATGTCCAAACGACTATCCAAGATTTTGTTTCTACTCGTCGAGTTAGGTGTTGACTCGACGAGTTCTCCATCCAAATTGATGTTCAAGTCCTTCATCCTACTTGCCGAGTTGTATGAACAACTCGGCGAGTTCATCTTCATCCGATGAACACTTATGCTGCGACTCGCCGAGTTGTATGAACAACTCGTCGAGTCTGATCTTGGTCTAAGGAGATTGCCTTGAACTCGCCGAGTCAGGGCATCGACTCGCCGAGTTCCATTATGGGTGAGTTTTGGCTTCCAACTCACCGAGTCCCTCCTGGAATCACCTTACGACTCGACATAACAAAAAGGGGGCAAACCCGGAGACTCGCGACTGGACTCGCCGAGTCAGATGAGCAACTCGCCGAGTCCGTTCCATGCAAGAGCTAAAAATGCGATTTTGCTCGAATCCAATCCATGTCATTTGTAGATCTGGGCTCCTAGAGCATGAATAACACGTAAAGTTTCCAACTATACGTGTAAATATCCATCTATGGGGCTTTTAGGGTTTGAAATGCACCAAAAGAGTAGATCTAAGGTTTATGTGCAATATGGGCTCATAAAGGTAGTGGATCTGAGCTCCTGGAGCTCAACTATGCTTGGATCAAGAGACCAATCGGCTTATTTCATTATGCACATACAAGCTTGGGGAATGGCTCAAGAATGTCTTAAATGAAGCAATAAGCATGGAAACAAGGGAAAAACGAGATATACCTCAATGGAACTGCTGAGAAAACACAATGGTGCTTGGATGGCTTCCCCTTCTTCTGGATCTACTTCCCTTCTTCTTCAAAACCTTCAAAAACACCAACAATTGCTTCAACTCTTAAAAGAACAAGCTTAAACGAGGGTTAGGAGGTCTGGGGGTGAATGGGGGCTGGATTGGGGCGGATATGGTGCTTAAATAGGGTGCAAACCCCTGAAACTTAGGGTTTCATCCAACAACGGTGACTCGCCGAGTCCAGGATATGGATTCGCCGAGTCGCCAACTTAAGCGTGTCCCGTGTCTCGTCCCTACTCGGCGAGTCGAACCTATGACTCGCCGAGTCCAAGGCTTAAAAAGGAAAAATACTCAATGAAGATTTACATACTAGGAACTAGGCGCTACACCTTGACTCAGAAAGGAGTGACCTTCAACTAGGAAGATAAGCAAGAGGCTACCTTCCACACCCTAAAGCAAGGCCTATGCAACCCCCTGATCTTGTCTCTCCCAGAAGGGACAGAAGACTTTATGGTCTACTGTGACACGTCAAAGAAGGGCCTTAGGTGTGTGCTCATGCAACGGGGAAAGGTCATTGCCTATGCCTCGATACAACTTAAGACTCACGAAGTTAACTCCACCACGCATGACCTCGAATTAGGAGTATTGGTGTTTGCTTTAAAAATCTGGAGACACTATCTTTATGGTACGAAGTGACATTCCCTTTACTACCAGAAACACCTAAAACAATTTAAACTTCAAACCGTAAGCACAAAGCTTAGTGAATTTCCCAATATACCACATAAAACACATAAATGGGCCCTTTAGTTATATATATTTATAAAATTTTGATTCATAAAAAACTGCAAAAGTTGGGGAAGATAAGAATTGAACATTGGTCATTTAGATGAATAATAGGGGCTGCTCTTGGCAGTTGAACTCATACCTTATTTTTGTAAACATTTACATAAAATAGTATATACATCCTGCGCGACCGCACCCCCTCATGATAGGCTTGTTCAGTTACTCCTTAGTTTCTCCCGTCATCTTATCCTAAACCCTCTTTCGGTCACTCCTCAATCTCTTGAACTAGTAACTAATCATCTATTCCTCTAACCAATAACCCTTACAAAGAGTATGCGGTATGGGCCAAAATGAGAAGCAACCGGGGTGACGTGACACGCCTCAACAACATCGTGATGGGGGGAACACCGCCCCCTACTCGTTTTTGGTCGTCGAGATTGAAGCTCGTTGGCGTCGCGACTGGATGAAATGCACAAAATTTAAACGTTTTCAAGCATTTAAATGGCAACGGTATTAAAAAAATTAACTATTAAAAAAAACCATTTACCCTATAAATAACTACCATTTTATTAAAAATTTCACATAATTTCTCTTCTCCTCTCTACATAGTTTCAATTATCTTCAAAAAAAATATATGGACCCTTTCGACTCGTCCGATGATTCAGATGACGATATTTTCTTCAGGATGATGTATGATTATTACACTACCGACCTGCTACAACCAGACTCAGCCCCGCTACTAACAAGACGTGCGATGTTAAACAGAAATCGTGAGGTAGGACAGAACATCTATATCGCGATTACTTTGCGGATAACTGTGTATACGGGGATAAGGACTTTAAAAGAAGATGAGGGTTTACAATGTTGCAGAAATGTGCTGCAGCCATTCGTTTGATGGCTATGGGGGAGTCACCCGACACCATGGACGACTATATGAGAATGTCCGAAAGAACCGCAAAGGAGAGTTTGTATACATTGTCAAGAGGTGTTGTTGAAACATTTGGAGACGTGTATTTGCGGAAACCTTCATTGCATGATTTGCAAGAATTGTATGTGGCGCATGAAGAACACCATGGGTTTCCTGGAATGATCGGAAGCATTGATTGCACACACTGGAAATGAATTTTTTTTTCGGTAGCATGGAAAGGGCAATACGCAAGTGGTCATCACGGATCACCTTCGTTGGTTTTAGAGCCTGTTGCTTCTCAAGATTTATGGATTTGGCATGCATTTTTTGGGGTTGCGGGTTCCAACAACGATGTCAACGTTCTTGATCGGTCGCCAATATTCGACGATCTTTTGAATGGAAATCCCCCGGATGCTCCTTTCACGGTGCATGGAAACGAATACAAACATGAGTATTACCTTACAGATGGAATATATCCTCAATATTCCACATTCGTGAAGGCATTCCGCCACCCGGTTGAAGAACGAGACAATTTTTTTAAAAGAAGACAAGAAAGAGCACGTAAGGATGTCGAACATGCTTTTGGAGTGCTGAAGGCGAGGTGGCATATAGTCGAACATGCAACACGACCATTGGATTTAGAAACTCTACGATATATCATATATGCATGTATCATAATGCATAACATGGTAGTAGAAGATAAAGGGCGAAATATTGCACACTATATCCCAACGGAGCCCAGAAACGTTCAGTTTCAACCAGGAACAACAAAGTATTTGCATTGCGTTGGTGACATTCAGGACGCAAATAAACACAAACAACTTTGAGAAAAACTTGGCGGATTATATCTTCTATAGTAACAATAACGATAAAGAATAGTGTTATATATATATATATATATATATATATATATATATATATATATATATATATATATATATATATATATATATCCTAATTCTAATAAATAAGTAGAACTCGGCCACGTGGCATTCTCCCAGCCCCCAAAATAGAGTTTTCCCGCTCATTTTTTCTTCTATATTTACGTAAATGCCATTGAATCCGAAAATTGAATAAAAGTTCAAACTGATGCAATATATCAGGAAATTTTAGCTGTCAACTGCATTTAAAATATTCATGCATTAATTTTAAATGAATAAAGATTATGGAAATAATTTGAAAAAATATGTTAATGAATAATCAGATTCGAAAATCACGATTAAATTTGAAAGTTTGTTTATTTTGATTGCAAATTCAATATATTGCAATCATTAAATCCCTAAAAATCTGCAGTATTTTTCAGCAAACGTAAATATCATTTATACGGTTATTTTGTTTTTACCATTCTACTCCATAGAAACCACAGCAAACGTATTCTTCTTCATTCTTTGTTATTCTGCAACGCTTCAAGAATTAAATATCAGGTTAGTGTATTCAAAAATCAGAATTACCAATATTTTTATTTCCTCCATGTTCTTATTTATCTGTATCTATCACGTTCTCATTGTATGATTTCTATTCTTTTTTTTTTTTTTTTGTAATTCTTCTTAATCGTCTACTTCTTCTACCTTTTCAGTTTAAAAGACGAAAAACTAATGAACATTACAAGTTCATTTTCTTTAAAAAAAATTAAAAATAGTCTTTTTCAAATGTGCACAGTAACTTTTTTTTATGGTATGAAATTTTAAAATTTGTTTGTTTTTATCTAAATACAATCTCAAAAAAATTTAGAATTTTAAAATTTATGAGTACATTAAGTCAGTTGTTATTGTCATGTGTTGATTTTTAATTTTTCTGTTTTACTCATTGTTATGTTATCTGTTAGTGTTAGTATGTTGCAGGGGCATTTTCGGTATAATTGTCGTTTTCATGTTTATTATATATTTGTGTTCCATCTTATTATATAAACTTTTATTCAATCTAAAACATTATTTCATATGAATTATTTGTTTTTGTTTGTATTCCATTTTATTATAAAATGAATTATTCAATTTAAAAATTTATGAGTACATTAAGTCAGTTGTTATTGTCATGTGTTGATTTATAATTTTTCTGTTTTACTTATTGGTTAGGATGTTCTGTACATTTTAAAAGGTTGCTAATTTTCCTTACAATTCTATAATGATTAAATTTATTGCAGAAAATGGAAATAGGAAATAAGGTTTACCTAAATAACATTGACCAGATAGATGAAAAATCGCATATCAAGGTTCGGGTGCTTAAAATTTGGAACTTTGTCAGAAATAATAAAGTTTGTTCCATTGAAATGATCATCATGGATGAGGAGGTTTGTTGTATTTGATATATTTTTTATTCATCATTCAATATTAGACATGTTTCATGAACATAATAATTTTTAATTTTTTTTTAAACAGGGTACACAATACCAAGCTCGTGTCTTCAATCAGAATTTCTCTAGATTTCGTCATCTTTTAAAGGAAGATGAAAGTTATATAGTTATAAAACCCAATATGGCTGCTGTTACTAATGGTTTTAGTTATACAGGTCATAAACAGACCTTAACTTTGGATTGGAAAAGCATCCTAAAAAAATGTGATGATTTCTCGGGTCCGGTCAATGGATTTATGTTTGTTGACTTTAATTCTATCATAAACAAACATGCCCAAAAGACACATTCTTTGGTTAGTCATAAAATATTAATAAAATCATTTTTTATCATTTGTTTTTTTGGTTATACATTTTATTATTTAAATATTACGAATTTAATCCTAAACTTTTATTTTTTTGTGGTATCTGTTGTGTAGATGTTATTGGACATATCGTGTCATTTAGGCCTCTTGAAACTTCAAATCCAGTACCATCCAAGCATTATATAAAAGTCACTCTTAGCAACCTAGAGTGAGATTATATTGTATTATTTATTTATTATTTATTATCTTTAATTAATCACAAATTAATATTAATATACTATTTTATGGTTTATTTAGTTCTGTACATCTGAAGGTTACTATTTTTGGAAGTCAAGCATATCAAATTTCAGAATACCTAAAAAATAACCCGACTGTTAATTTTGTTGTTATCGTGATGCAGTTTTTGAAGCTAAACATTTGGAATGGTTTGTATTCAGTCTTTATATATAGATGTTTATAATTACTGTTTTTATATAAATTTTAATAATTGGATATACATTTTTTACAGGTCTTGGTGAAGCTAAAAGTCATTTTAAAGTAACGAAATTGTTCATAAATTCTGACATTTATGAAATAAATGAGTTTAAAAATAAGTTAGTTTCCAATTGTTTTTTATTTTTTTATAATGTATTTTAACTTAAAAAAAACACAAAACCTAATATTCATGAATCTAAATTAAACATTACAGGTTGAAATGTCATGACAATTTCGGTATAACTGAAAAAAGCATAACTACACTTCAAAGCTACTCTTCTTCATATACAGATGACTTTAAGGGCAATTTTCCATTAAAAACAATCTGTGAGATCACCGAACCAATTAAGGTATATTGCATTATTTTATATGTTTTACATTTTATTTTTGCATAATTTATTTTAATAATTTTTACATTTGATATGATACAGGAAATGAAGTTTTTATTAGTTGCTTCCATTGTTAATATAAGGCAGAATCTACCATGGTATTATGAAGCATGCAAAAAATGTGGAAAAAAAATTATCCCTGTTCCCAAAACCAATCATTCGTATACCAACCCTGAGGGAATTTCAGAAACTATGGTTGTCGAGTGTACAAATGCACAATGCAAAAAATCTGAATTTCAGTCAGTTATAAAGTATAGACATATTTATTTCTATTAATTTTGTCAATCTTAAAACAACACTAACAATGACATAATTATTTTTTGTTTTATATATATAATTCCAATTAACGTACAAGATTGTACTGGAACCATTGGATTGACTCTTTTTGATAGGGAAGCAAGGAGGTTGTTAAATATAAGTGCCTACGAGTTGAAAAAGATACATGATGCGGTATATTATTCATACCTTTAAAATCAGAAAACATTTACTTAATTTTTTTAATTTATTAAAATATATCTTACAGGCCGGAGACAGTGATGCCCTATTTCCAATGCAACTTAACGTGTTGAAAAACTGCAAGTTTGGTTTTGTTGTAGATATTACAGAATACAATGTCAACAACTATAATAACATCTACACAATTCTCAGAGTTACAGAAGATATGTCCATTGTTTGTGAATTGGAAAGTAAAATAGAACCTATGGTATGTAATTTTTTATTGTTGAAAATTTACAATTCTTTAATGTTAAAGTACATAACGATTAACATATTTCCATTTTATTTTTTAGAGTATTCAATCTGTCTCCTTAAATCAAGTTGCTTTGGAATCCGATGATGTTGTACAGCCTGTTCAAAAGGTTTTTCATTTTATTTTATAAACTTTTAATTATATTAGTTATTTTTTTTAGGAATCAAACATTTTTTTTTAAAATTAGGATGTGATCTCACAAACAGACGAAAGTTTTACACCCTCAACAGTTGATAAGTCAACCGCAACAAGTCCTTGCAAAATATCAGGTGATTTGAAGCGCAACCTCCAAGAAATTTATGATGTTGATTCTGGATATGATTTAAGTTCAACTAAGGCTAAAAGAAAGTCAACCGCAGAGGAAACTCCACTCTTGATTCCAAAAATTGAAAAGTGAGTTTCTATCGGTTATAAGACACATTTAATATATTTTGATCATTTGTTTTGGTTATAAAGATATTTTAATTGCTTGGTATGATTTTTATTTTGGGGTATTTAGGATGTCAAATATTATTGGTTTTGAATATTTTTGGATACTTTTATTGTTTTAAATTGGACAAGTTAGTTGATTTTGGTTATAACTCAAATAAAATATATTGCCCCTAACTTGATAAGTATTTCATATATCGCAATTAACAATTAAGACAAATCAATCAATCAATCAATTTGTATAATAAAAATGCAAAATTCTTAGCTTTCTTCCCCAATTCGCATTCTACTGTAAAATTCGCATTCTTCATTCACCCTCTTTCTTCGCATGTTCCAGTCATTTTTTTTAGTTCATAAGCATTTGAGTTGTTTGTCTCACCAAATGCAAAATGAATATTAACCATAATCACCTTCGCATCTTTAACCCCAATCCATACAACCTCATATGCGAAACCCAATTTTGATTTGTATAATAAAAATATTGCTATATATGTAAAGACCATATTGCCCCTAACTTGATAAGTATTTGATATATCGAAGTTAACAATTAAGACAGATAAATAAATCAATCAATTTGTATAATAAAAATTCTACTATATATGTATTCTGAATAATAAAATCTGCTATTTATGTATTCTGAATAATAAATCTGCTATATCAATCAATCTATGCCCTTAATTTGAAAACAAATAACTGAATGTATATTGCTATTTCTACTTTTTTTTTTTATGTATTCTGAATAAAAAAAATTTCTACTATAGTGTATGATATACTTTTTTATTTTTTATAACTGTTATCTTACTCTTTTCCATTTCTTTTACTTCAAAAAGACCATATTGCCCTTAACTTGATAAGTATTTGATATATCGCAGTTAAGAATTAAGACAAATAAATCAATCAATCAATTTGTATAATAAAATTCTGCTATTTATGTATTCTGAATAATAAAATCTGCTATTTATGTATTCTGATCAATTTGTATAATAAAATTCTGCTATTTATGTATTCTGATCAATTTGATGCAAATCTATACTCTCCTGATGTATTAAATGGACTCAAAGTATCCGGTTTACCAAATCATAAATTAGTTTTAAAAATTGGTGTTCCAGTAATGTTACTGAGAAATATTGATCAGAAAAACGGCTTATGTAATGGCACAAGGCTACAGGTGTTATCATTGGGCAAACGTGTTATTGAGGCACGTATAATAACTGGAACTAATATTGGAAATCGGACTTTTATTCCAAGAATGTCTTTAACTCCATCAGAAAAAAAGATTCCCTTCAAATTCACAAGAAGACAGTTTCCTTTGGATGTATGTTTTGCAATGACTATTAACAAAAGTCAAGGACAATCGTTGTCAAAGGTTGGTCTGTTTCTGAAAGATCCAGTTTTTTCACATGGACAATTGTATGTTGCCTTATCTAGAGTTCAGAGTAGAGAGGGATTAAAATTATTAATTTTAGATAAAGATGGCAAACTCACAAATAAAACTTCCAATGTTGTTTATAAGGAAGTTTTTCGAAATTTGTAGCCAACTTTTTTGTAACGTCGTTTTATTCAATTTTAGGAAATCACACTTAATCCATCATATTACTGTATTTTTTTTATAATTATGTATTGTTGTATTTTATGTTAATTTCATTACACACATTGGTATTGTATCATCTGCATATGTCCAATTAGAATGATGAATAAAAAAAAATAGTTTTCAAAAATCTTCATTCCTAATTAAATACTTCCCATTTAGTTAGTAATTAAATAATTACCAATAAAAAAAATTATTTAAATATTCAATATTACAATTTATAAGTTATCAGAATTATTGATATAATATTTTATTAAATAATTAATTTTTAAATTCAATTCAAAAACAGCACCCGTGGGTTCCACGGGTTTTAACCTAGTATATATATATATATATATATATATATATATATATATATATATATATATATATATATATATATATATATATATATATATATATATATATGAATTTAGATGTTATTTATTTATTTATTTGAATTTGGATGTTATGTGTAATTTAATCTCTATGTCAATTTAATCTTTAAAAATTATTATATGTTATTCATAATTTTTACACATTATGTTTTATTTATTATGTTATATTTAAAAATATTTGTCTAAATTAAAAAAAAATCAAAAAAAAATTATAAAATGGAAAAAAAAAGTTGGTGTTATAACAAGATACAACATGGTGACTATTTCGCCACTTGGTGTTATAACACCATTGATGATATGACATGTGATGTGACATCAAAATTGTGTTACATCTTGTTGCCAACACATAATGCTCTAAGGTCACTCCTTCACTCAACGATGTCTCTGACCAAATAAATTTCAAACAATATGATTATTTTGTTTTATGAAGTTCTTTGAAATCTTTTATAGTGGAGGCTATTATTTATTAAAACAACCATGTATTCTGTTATAATTAATAAGCAACATTAATCTTGTATATTTTTATAGCAAAAATGAATTCACACTTTGAATAGCTATTTGGAGCCATAATGATAAAGAAGATAGAAGATCAAAATGAAAGTTATATATAAAGCGAAAAATAGCATTTATAACATTGTTTGAACACTTGATTTGTGTTTATGGTTATATATTTTTTTCAAACTTAAACAATTATTGGAATTCTTTTTTTCTTTGTTTGAAATATAAACGAGTCAATCATGATTCAACTTGTTTATTAAATATGTTGGGTTAGGAAAAATAACATAAATATATCGATCTTGATTTCAATTCATTTATTAAGCATATTGTGTTTGATTAAGAATTCTCTAAATTTAATTAAAAGTTTGTATTGGATTAAGTTTTTCAATATGTTAAACATATCACATTATTAGACCAAAAAAAAAAAAACCTTACATATTATCACTCCTAAAATTGATTTGGGCCTTTTTGAAAACAAAAGTAGTCATCTTAGATTTTAGCCGTTAAGGGGGTTCTTACAAAAACAAAATAGAAGGGCTCTTTCTAAATATAGGAAAAACATTTAAGTTTCGACACTTTTTATTCGGACAATCTCTCATATTTTGTTGTGGAAACAGCCACTTACCCAGGCTAAAATTTGTTTACCAGTAACAACAATTTGAGGTTTCTTCCTTCTTTGCTCTTTAATGACTTTTCCAAAAGTGGAAAAGTCATGTAATATAACTTGGAATTCACCATTCTAACAATAACCCATTAATTAACTAAAAATTGACTGTTTTTATCATTGGTATGATCAACACTTATGTAAAATAAAAAAATTAATTTGTATATAAACTATGACTTTTGGTCTTTTAAGGCTGATCTTGGAATCGGTTTCGTCTTTTTGTTCATGTCTACATATAATATAGCTTTGAATTAGGGCTCATGTAGATATCAAAAAACCAAACTGAAACAACAAAGAATGAGCATTAGTTGCCATAATGTTTAATGTGTGCTGATATCATATTTGAGTTGAGATATCAATAACCATGAATTGATGATGATGTAGGTTGAATGATTTGATTGGTTTTGTATTAGAGTAAATATGAGGGACAACTTGTTTGTGTACAAAAGAGGCATAAATATCCAAATTTACAAACAATGAAAATGAAGTGTGTATTTAGTTATTTTTTCTATTATTATAACAATTATACACATTGAAAGAATGTGGTGCTATAAAGTCGGTGCACGAAGTGTTGTTGTTGGTGTTGGGGAACGAAGAACTTGTTGCAAAAGACGTGCAGCAAGCCGCTGTGTAATCCCCCCAAATACACGCCCTCCAAGATTTCTAGCCTCTGGTTCTTGAAGAACCTGATAAGATCAGACTCAGTAAGAAACATATCAATTATCAAACAGACACACACGAGTAATGTTACTCTCACCTGTATAACTGGCTGTAGGACACTAGGATCAAAATTATCGGATGCGCGTAAAAGCCCCCAAATCCTCAAAACTTGTTCTCTCAGCTCCAACATGCTTTCCATTTCCACCTCACTGAGACCCGTTGTCCCAATTCCATTCCCATTCGGGAGAAAACTCCTCAAAGGCCCCGGAATGGAATTGTAGGTGTCAATTACAGTTCCGATAGTAATCGCCTCAGTCACCCGAATAGCTTCTTTAATAACCAAACTCCTCAACTCCTCCCCATCGGGACCCAACACCAGTTTCAAAACAGGCTGCAATGCATCTTTTGCTGCAAAATCCCTATCCATTTTCCCCTGCACTAACAGGTTCTCAAGCCTATTCCACCTGTTTCATATTCACAACAATCAAGACTTTAAACTCGATTAATAACAAAAAAGAAAAAAATATTATATATATATATATATATATATAGACACATACCTCAACTTTCCATCCTTGAATAGCAACTCGATAAGGGCATCTCTTAGATATGGATTCGGATCTGTGAGCAGCCTTTTTGCAAAATAAGGATATGAAGCTGCTAGAACCTTAAAATTAGGATCAGCATAAAGTGCCAAACCTTCTAGAACAGTTAGTGATCTCAATATCAATGCATAGTAAGCGGGGACATTGAATGGATACTGATAAAGAACAGCACCGAGTCCATCCACAATGGTTTTAAAATTGAGTTCACTCACTGTAGAATTCAATGCATCATCAAAAAAGTTTCTAAGTGCTGGAACAATCGGGGTGACATCAACATCAGGAGATAAAAAATCCAAAGCATAATAATCACGAGCCATGGCTTCATAATCGCGATTAACCATATGAACAACATGACCAATGATTGCAAATCTTGCTTCTTCAGGTGTCTCACTCATCATTCCAAAATCAAGAAAAGCAAGTTTTCCTTCTGGGGTTGCTAAAAGATTACCAGGGTGGGGGTCTGCATGGAAGTAACCATATTCAAGAAGCTGCCTAAGGCTGCATTGAATACCTGTGTTGACTAAATCCAAGACTTTTAACCCTTGACCTTCGATGATTGCTTGTTCGTTGAGTTTCACTCCTTCAACCCATTCCATGGTTAGGACTTTCCCACTGGTGTAATCCCAGAAGATGTCTGGAACAAAAACATCTTCTTTGTCAGCATATAGCTTCTTGAATCTTCTAGCATTTTGCCCCTCCTGCACACACCTGTCAAAATTAAGATTTGCCTAAAACAGTTTTGTGGATGCAAAAAGTAATGGAAGTTACCAGAGGACTAACCTGTACATAGTTGAGTTCTTGATAGACTCTTCGTGCGAATTCGTCGATTAAAGCAACAACATCACTGGTTATTATGTCTGCGTATTTGTTTATAAGCAAACCAAGACCTCTGATGAGGTAAAAGTCTAGCCCAATGGCTTCTTCAATACCAGGCCTCTGTACTTTCACAGCAACAAGTTGCCCAGAATACTTGAGTTTAGCTTTATAAACTTGACCTAGACTGGCTGCAGCAATAGGAGATGTTGATATGGATGAGTAAATGGAATCAAGTGGGACTCCGAGCTCTTTTTCAATGCAAGCAAATGCCTCTGCATCTGGGAATGTTGGCAAAGCATCCTGCTCAATCATGAAAAAAAAATGGAGTCAACTGTCAAGCATATGAAAATGGTGTCGACTGGAAAGAAAGGAAAGAAATGGTGGTTTTACAGAACCTGGAGTTCAGAGAGTTCTTCAAGGAATTCAGGTGGACAAAGATCTGGTCTGGTGGAGAGACCCTGACCAAGTTTAACGAAAGTAGGACCTAACCTCGTGAAAGTCTCCCTCAATTCGACAGCTCGCGATCTTCTGTTCTGTACAAGCTGACCTTGCAACTGATCTATCCAGAGTTTCAATCCAAACGAACCGAGTCCAACTAGAATCTGAAGAGTCCTTCGCAGCACCTGAAGTTGATTTACTACCACAGGAATTAGAATTTCAAATTTGAAATTATCGACGTTTGTTCAAGGTAAGGTTGAACAACAATTTCAGAATTTTGGTGAATTCAATAAATTGGGGAAAACTCACCTTGAAGGGACGAGAAGCGTAATTTAATTTAAGAAGTTCAGGACTATAGACGGAAGCGTTGGAGGCACGAGCCAAAGCTTTGGCTTCGGCTTGAATATCATCTTCTCTACTCTTGGAAGCCGGCACTATGGAAGAGACGACACCATTAATATTGTTATTACCTCTAACCGGAGGCAAAGCGCGAGGTCTAGCTTCCTCAACCAGCGCTGCACGTAGGGGTTTCGCCCTGAATCTTGTCCGACATTTAGGGTGAATGGTTTTGGTCGACCTGGTTCTGTTCCGGTAGAAAACGGATGGGTGTCCGGGTGATGTAGTTGAAGCTGGGGAAAGAGTCACCGAACTCATTGTTGAAGATGGTTAATGGAGGTCGATCCTCCTCCTTGAAATCGCAAGGGGAGAAGAAGGTAAGGAAATCAAGTAAATAGATTATAGAAGAATGTAATGAGTGTGTGTGTCGTATAGAAACAAAATTCTTGGCTAAAAATGGAAGGGAGTTACATATGGTGTACGAGTTTACCCGTCGCTCATCTGCCTGCCTATAGCCTTTCTCACATGGAGATGTCAACAAAATGAATGACACAAACTCATAAATTCAAAACTTCTACTTCTATCAATATTAATATTTTAAGTTAACTAGATTGATTTATTTTATCAAATCATACCAAGGATACTTCTTTCTAATTCGATGTAAGTTAATCATGATTGAGCCCGATAATCATGTTGCCCGATTCTATTCTATTATCATTAACTAAAAATTAACATTTTAGTTAATCTATCGGATTAGCCTATTTGGGGATCTTTGTTCCGGTTGAACCACTTTAACGGATTAATTAATCTATCAAGAATTATTTTGAAATGTATGTAATTACATGTTGTTTGAGAATGTGGCATTATGATCGTTTATATTTTTTTATAGTTTTTTTCTTGATAAAAGATAAGTTATTTTTCCATAATGATTTGATTAGACACATATTGGGGTTTTGGATTTAAAGGTGAATCGGAAACATTATTGATTAGTAAAACACAAGGTGTCCTTTTGGTGTGATTTACAATTCAAATCAACAAGTCTTTTCAACAAAAATAATATTATGACATCCACAATGCAAATAATACAAAAGTAATAAGGTGGTGATAAGGATTGAATGTGTGTTTAATGGAATGTGGGCGATGATATGAAATGCAGATCAATTGAAGAGTTCAATAATCATTTAATTCTTCAATAAGGATCAATAGAGAAAAAAGAATAATGTTTAGGATTATATGGATGTTAACGTAAGTGTTAAATGTAAAGTTCAATATGTAAATTTAATGGATGATATTACAATCTTTTAAACTCTATAGTGTTTAATAAATTATGAATTCTCAAAATGAAATGGTTTCTCGTTAACAATCAAAGATGTTTGCAAAACAATTTGTGGTTGCACAAGTAACAATATTTGTTTAGAACTTTGTAACATATTTTCATGGGTTAATGTTATGATCTCACATCTGTCGAAAGTACTATGAGTTGGTGACTGACTTATAAGTCTAGGTGTCCCTTCCTTTTTTAACCTGGCTCTTGGGAGTGAGTTATATATTTGAGCTTATAGCATGATACGTGTCTAGTATGGGATTGGTCTGTATCAATTGGTATCAGAGACATCCCCATCTTTTAAGGTGCCAACACTTGTAGTAGTGGCCTTTGAAGTGGTGGCTTGAACCAAAAAATGGGTGTCAACCGTGACCAATGAGGAGGTTGGCTCTTTAAAGCATGGGGTAATATTATTGATCCCACATCGATCGAAAGTACTATAAGTTTGTGATTTATAAATCTAGGTGTCTACTATGAGATGGATCATAGTAGTTAACTATTTTTTTTTTTTTTGTTAACTAGTGTTCTTTACTTGCATCCATTTTAGTTTTTAATTATTAAAATATAGTTAAAAGAAAAGAAAAAAGATAGTAAAAATGGTAAGTTGGTTTTTTTATATGGACCAAAAATCACAAGTGCAATAATACAAACCATAGAGACTACTAATGTTAAAGACTAAATGGGTGAGTTTGGGAAAACCAGAGGGGCAAAATGTGTAACTAAAAAACTGAGAGAAATGTAAAATGTCGATAACAAAGATCAAGAAGTGGGAATAGGGAGTCCAAAGCAGTGGTCGTTTGAGTTTTGATCAGAGAGTTGGGCAATTTGATTATACCAGAAGAATTAATCTGCAACTGAGACTGTGATACATCTGAATTCCCTTCAATTTTCTTATTGATTGAAAAACCGTCTGGAATCCGCCGGAGGGATCGCAGAGACTGGCACCGGCGTAGCCATGGATGATATGGAGGATTCTTTGTTCGAGGGTATGGTCCTTTTTGACCCTTCTTCATCATCCTCTTCTTCTCAATTGCCAGTAGATGATGATAAGAAGCAGGATGGTGCTGTTGAACTACCTAATCATCGTGAAATTAGTCAGCAACCTCCTCAATCCCCTACTTCCGCCGCCACAACCACCGCCGGAGCTTCATTTGAGCCCCTGGATGAAAATCTCTTCTCGGATCTAACCCTCGTACAACCCCAATCTCAAGAAGATGCCTATTCCTCTCTCGACCCTCCTCTTTCGCCGTCATCATCATCATCGCGCAGTACTACGGATGTTCCCACATCAACATTTGCATCGCCATCACAATTGTCAACCGCCATAGATTCCACCAGTGTTAGTGATAGTAGAGGAGTTGCCACCCCTGCCCGATCGCTCTCATCACAGCTTTCCTCCACCAGAAAGAAGAAGAGAGCTGGTCTAAGGATCGGATATGGTAGAGCAGCCCAGTCACAAGATTCCACCATTGATGCTGATGATACGCAGCCACAGATCCGTCTCCCATCTCCATCCGTGCCCCCCTCTCCATCACTTCCCATTGTTGCTGCTGAAAAAAATCTTGAACCAGGAGAAGAAAAGCAGCAAATCCTTCCTGATTCTGGAAGTGGTTCCGTTCCAACTGTGGCAGAAGCAACCACCTCAGCAGTTGAAGAACGGATCAAGATGAATGTGGCCATTCCCAATTCAGAGTCCGTGGATTCTATATTGAAGAATACACCACAAGAAGAGATGATTACAGAAGTGCAAAGTAGGGAGAATTCAGTGGAGTTTAGATACGACCAAATTAAGAAACAGATTGCTGACAAACTCAATGGTGCTCACCAAGCAGTAGCTTCTGTGTCAGCCAAACGCAAGGAATCCATTAGGAAGAGAAGGAAAGCAGAGGAGGAGCTGAATCTTGCATCTGCAAAGCATAAACAAATGGAGAAGGAGCTGGAGGAAGCTGTGGAGTCTGAGGATTTTGAGACTGCAGAAAGGGTCAGTGATAGTCTTGCATCAGCTGAGAGGAACAAGGAGCTTCTTTCTGTTGCCTTGAGAGATGCTGAAGCAGACTGTGATGCCATTGATTCCAAGATGCAGGAGGCTTTGGAATTGCAAATTGTAACCGAAGAGGAATGTGCAGCTCTGCTGCAAAGCTTTGTGGTGGTAAGTTTGCTATCTTTTTCATCAAATATATGATCTATAAACCTATTTTGTTTGTTATCCCAAAACTACAATTAGTTTTGTTGCCCAATCACTTGTATGTTTACAGTCTGCCCTTGATTTATACAATACAATTGTACATTCTTCCATTGGGGTTTTTATTGACTTAATACATCAAAGACTCTTTCTATCTTTAGGATAAGGATTGTTAAATAAAAATCTATCTGGTTGGTGTTATTATATGTAGAGATGCAATCCTCACAACTGATGATTTCATTATCTGATCTTGTTATGATGCTCAAGAGATCCAATTGTTTCTTTGGTGTGATTTAGAAACCTAGTTTTTTTTTTTTACTGTTTTCCTAATTCTTTCTCTTAACCCTAATTTGGAACAATGGTTTATCTCAGGATGCTGATCATGAAGCAGATGCTGTCATCTCAAATGCTGAAACGAAAACTTCAGAAGAAATGGAGAAATGGATTTCATTATCTGAAGCTTTAGAGGTGAAAAGAATAGAAATAGAAATCGAATCACATGTTCTATCAGGAACACGGCAAGTGTTAGATGATTCCATAGAACAAGTAGTCAAGGAAGACAAAGAAGAAAGCAACCTCCTTCACAACAAGAAGAACATATTAGCAGAAGAACTGCAGGAATTACTATCTTTAGTAAAACAAAAGGAATCAGAAATAGCAGAAAACGATTCAAAGATCGAAGTTATTGAGAAAAAGATAGCTGATGTAACCTCTAGCTTCCAGGAAGCACAATCAAGCCTTCATTCAAAGTCCAGTGTTCTTCAATCAAATCTTTCTGAAATCGAATCGGATCATGAATCTTTATCTAGAAAAAAGAAGGAAATCGATGACTTTCTTATTCAAGAAGAAACCAAAGGTTCAAAAATCAAGGAACTTAGCCGAATTTCTGCAAATGAAGCTGATATGTATAAAGAAGTTGTAAACCTGAGAAAAAGTCTAGTAAATTTCATCTCAAAATCACGCGAAGAAAAAGCAAGATTAGCTACAAATGAACAAAAGTTATTTGATGATGTGCAAATCTTCAAACAAGATATTTCTTCTGTAAGAGCTTCACTTCAGGTTAGTCACAAACAACTTTAATAGTTGCTTATGAAATAAAAAGTTAAAAGAAAACCATATAAACTTTTTATTTTTTGTGTCTGTTATGTTTTAGGATCTTTCATCAACAAAATCAGGAACCCAACAGGAGATTGAATCATCAAAACAGAGGCTTATGTTCATAGACAAAAGAATACCAGAATTAGAATCTGAAAAGAAAGTTGCTGCAACTGCAAGAAACTTCAAGGAAGCAGCAAGGATTGCAAATGAGGTAAAGACACTGAATCTTGAAAAGGAAACTTTACAGACTAAAATAGAGGAAGCTGTTTCTGAGCTTAAGAAGATAGAAGATGATATCAGTGAGAGTGTGGAGAGGCTAAAGGAAAAAGAAGAGAAGATTTTGAATATGGAAAAGGAATTGGAAATGGTGAGACACCAAAGGTTGCTTCTTGTTGGCAATGGTGCTAGAGGTGATAGATTGGCAGCTATGGAGTTTGGTGATGTTGAAGAAGGTGAGATTCTGTTGAAGGAAGCTGAAGCTAGAAAGATTGAAGGGAATTGTGGTAAAGAGGAAAGTGTTGTTATTTCCATGGAACTTGTTTCCAGTCTTGATAGGAATCAGCTAGCGGAATTGGTGGCATCTATTCAGATTGTGGAATCATGATGTGATGCAATGCAATGAAAGAATTTTTGTTTCTCATCATCCCAATTTTAGTGTTGGTATTTTTCACTTCAAATCTTTTCATTGAATTTTTGTTTGTCTGTGAGTTCTCTACAGTGTGTGTGTTGTATTTAAACCATTGAACTTCTTTTCATTTTCTATTTTTTTTTGTCATACAATAGTGTGGAGGGAAGTCACCTTTCTTTTTGAGGTTGTAAGAACTCGAATTCAATTCTTAAATCAACTTTCAAGGCTTATTATGTATATGTTAATGATTTAATGTGCATGTATGTACTTATAGTCGAGTTTTGATGTATAATATCTACTTAAACTATATAATGAGCAC